GGCAGCGCACCACATATCCTACACAGCCTACCTGTCGGACTTCAGTCTTCCTATGTCGCCGCAAAAAAATAGGTAAAATCTTCAAGTTTGGAAGAAATGTGTGCGCTCTCACCTGGCCTTCGGGGATTTCGTTCAGATCGATCTCCGTATTGGCCATAGCAAGTTGATCTGCTGGCATACTTTTGAATATGACAAGTGTCTGCACAAGCTTCGTTGCCATATAGAGATATGCTGCGCCACTTACTGCAATATTTTGCATGTCATTTTCAAATAAAACAGCAAAAAAAACATTCAGATCCAGGCATCTTGATTCTTTCAGTTCTTTCCCTCTAAAGATTTTTTCAACAATTTCATCCCCTAAAATTTCAGAGGAATGTAACCTCCAAACATAATTCCTTGAGAGGTTGCACGGCGATAGTCTTCAGTTTCCCTTGCTGGCTTTGTTGGATCCACTGCTGCGCTAGAACGTTCGCTTTCATCGTACTTCGGGAACGTAACATCAGTGTGAGCAAATCGACACGGAGTTGCTGCAAAAATGCCTTTGAACATGTGAAATACTTAAAATACCAAGGGAAAAACTCGGTCCAACAGGTCATTCTATCCGTCCGTCGATAAAAATTCGCGGATCATTGATCATCTTTGTCTCAATTCACTAATTTGTCGCTAATATCGCTAAATATCGGAGTACGTACACGTTTACTCTCAGTTAAAGCCTTTTCAAAATGTTATTCTTTATAAATTAATGCCACTCTTTCCTTCAGGTTGATTGCCCCCCCCCCCTCCCTGTCCCCTTCGTATATCTATAATAATCTGCAAATAATTTTGACATGCCCAGTCGTTCAATTTCGTGGTTTGCAATCCAATTCTGGAAATGCTGAAGCGAAATTTACATCGAAGCGAGCTCCACATCGATGAATTTCGACTATTAGGCTTCAAATTTTTCCTTGGCTTTCAAGCCATCAATGTTTCAAACTCTCAATTTTGAAGTAGTGCATCACAGAGACCACTGGTGCTCTGAGACAATTCACTGATTCGAATGCATGGAGTGATGTGGCTGTGGAACAAGCATAAGCTCGTGGAGTTGTTGACGGCTGCAAAATTGATGACTTATGAGAATTAGATTCAAACTACGAATTACGAGCTGTTCGAGGTATTTCAAAGTGTAAGTAACGCATTCTGCTCATGGGCGGATCCAAGGTGGTCTACTGGGGGCCGAAGAGGGGAGTGGAGAGGGAAGGGGGGGG